TCCCTTCCCCATGTCGTGGCTGGAGTCCATTTTCTGAAGCGCCAGACACACCCCACCAGTTCCTGGCTTAGAACCCCAGGGTGACCCTCCTCCCGCACGGGGACAGCGGAGCCCTCTGTGAGCTGTGTCCTCGCCACCTCTCGCTTGTCTTCCCGTCACTGCCTGGAATTCCCAGCCTCTTCAGGCCCTGCTGGTCCGGGCACTTCTCTCGGAATATCCTCCGCGTCGCACTTTTCCGGGGAAACACCGTGCACTGTCTGCGGGCTCCCGCGAGGACTCCCTGCCACGTGGGGCCCGACCTGGGCCCCTCTGCGGGCGGAACGAAAAGCGAAGACTGGCACCGGGGGACGTCTGCCCTGCAGAGAATTCTGCCGCTGCTCCTGTGCCCACTTCACACCTGTTATCTGGGGATCTCTCTCCCCCTAATTGACCGCCAGACACTTGAGACAAGCACCACGCGTGACTCATCCCTGCAGCTCCAAACTCGGACAGGACAGCCCAAGTCACTGACTGCGGTTGGGACATAAAGGGAAAAATGCAAACAAAAGCCCGAGTTGTAATAGGTCGCCATGCTTGCTCTTGTACGGAAGGGCAAACAACAGTGGTTGACTGATGTAATTATTTACACGAAATCAAGGCCATGTGTAGGCCCCGTAGTGACAGGGTGCAATTGTGGGTGTATTTAGTCCCGGGGACAGGCACTCTCTTCTAGCCATCAGGCCCCTAAATTGCATTTCGAGGCTCTCGTTAATGAGACGTTCCAGATATAGTTGGGAAGGATGCTCGGACTCCGGGTCTTCCTGTGAGGAGCCGCCAGGGTAGGACGTAACGTGGGGCCCAGAAGGAAATTCTACCCTCCCGTGCTGGCCGGCACCCTCGGCTCTCTGGAGCAAGCCGCTGACACTTGGTAGGAGGGACATTTATTTTGAGCGTATGCAGTTCAGGGCTGCTTAGTCAACGGGGTCAGGCGTCTGACATTGTGCCCAGGTGCCTTCGGAGACCGCAGGGTCAAGTCCAGCACGTAGCTCCCACCCAGGCTACGACGACAAGCCGCCTCTGCACGCTGGCTCCGAACCACCTCTCCGGCTCCCGCGGGCTCAGGGAACTTTCTGGACCCCTGGATTGAGTGCGTCTACCCAAATGTGTAAGAAGAAAGCAAGAAAGCGGGGCTTAATGACTCTGAAAAAGTGAAAATTTCAGCCAAACTGATACTTTGACAAAAGGCTCAAAACCTGAATCTTGCCCTGGCTGGTGTGGCTCAGTGGACTGAGTGCCAGCCTGCACAGCAAAGGGTCACTGGTTTGAGTCCCAGTCAGGGCAGGTGCCCGGGTTGCAGGCCAGGTCCCCAGTAGGGGGCGCACAAGAGGCAACCACACATGGATGTTTCTCTCCCTCTCTTTCTCCCCACCTTCTCCTCTCTTTAAAAATAAATAAATGGAATCTTATAAAAACAAAACCAAAAACCCAGATCCTGGTTCAAACTCCAACTAAGGTGCTTACGGCCGTGGGCCGGATGGCAGACCGCCCTCACACGGTGTGGAAAGAGCCAACTGCTGGGATTTTCCTAGAAAAGGCAACCCTTTAGGAGGGAGACGAATGGGGAGGTGTAAGCAGAAGCTCTGACGTCGAAGGGGACCGGCCCTCGAGAACCAGCTTCATGGTCTGTCCCGTCTGTGCTCGTGGCCCAAGAACAAACCAGCCTGCATCGCCCGAGACCAGGCAGGGTTCTCACCGTGTTTTCAAACGTCCGTAAGGGGCAGAAGAGAACAACGCGACATTCGTTCAGGGGAGACCCGAGGAGCCCACTCTAGTCTCTTTGCGTTTCCAGGGAAACAAGGCAGGGGGCAGCCCCTAGAGCTAGAACCAGAACTTCAACCTTTCCTCAACACGTAGCCCTGCGAGCAGAACCCGACTTGCAGTAAGCCCGTGCCTACTGGATCGCGTATAAACTGAAACACAGGCGCAAACACACAAACACAACAATCATAGGGTGAGGGCCGTGTGATTCCCTAGGCGGGTCCTTCCACGAGCTGGGTGTCCCCAACACTCGAACCCCACGCCCCACGTCAGGGCCCGGGGTACCCACGTGGGGCTGTTTTCCCTTAAACACCCACAATTATTCATTTGATATTAGAGCTGGCTTGCCGCTCTTGTCGAAAAAGTTTGATGCCAGCTGCTGGTCCTGGGGCTTAGATCAAAGGAAAACCAAAGAGTGTTTTCTTCTGAAACACGGCGGAATCCTTCGTCTGGACTGATACTGCCTCTAAGAACATTCCCGAGCAGGTACTGCTCTCATGGGGACCCGGTCCAGGGAAGGCCGTCCGAGGGATCTTGGCGGTCGGCCCCTACCAGCGGCAGAGTACGTTTTGGGAACACCGTGGACCGTGAAACTGAGCATTGGAGGCTGGGCGTGACAGCCACCAGACACGAGAGTGTCCAGAGGTGGGGCCAGGGCAGGCTCCCTGGGCGGAGGGTCCCTCACCTCCCCAGTGCCGCCCGGGGCTCCCCCCTCCCATTTCGCCAGCGCCAGGGGCTGGCTGAGCGCCCCCCCATTACTCTCCAGACTCTCTGTTCACTCGGTGGCCGGGCTGCCTCCAGGGACGGCGGCCCGAGCGACTGCCGCGTGACAGTGAGCGGGGGTCTAGACCCGAGCAGCAGGCCATGTGTTCCAAGTTCAGCCCCGGGACCGCTCTGGGGAGCCCAGTCCCCGGCCCCGTTCCTCCGCACCCCCGGCCCCTGACAGTAGATGCTCTCCTAAAAGCAGATCTCCCGCCAGGCAGTGGAGTCCGCTGTTGGAGGGGAGGCTGGGGCCGAGAACCCCTGTTCTGCCTCTTCTAGCGGCTGGAAAGTCGGTTTGCTTCTCTGTACCTCGGTTTCCCCACACTGGAGAGCACCCATGTCACGTGCTTGCTGTCAGGGTCGGAAGGACCCAGAGGACACGCCAAAGCGCGCCTGACAGTGGCGCCTCGCGCAAGCAGCACGGGAGAAACTCGATCTCAGGACCAAACCACTCTCGCTCAAGGGAGCTGCGTTTCTTGAACAAAACCAAGTGAATTTGTTTGACGTGGGCCTTTAACACTTTTTGTAAATAGATCTCACGGTATTTTTTTAATTATCCGCCCCTTAAATTGTGGCCTTTTTATGTCACTCTCACCGAATGACATTTGCTTGCCTAGCCTCACTATTTTTTCCTCCAGGAGCAATTCTGTGTTAAGCAAACACAGGACTAACAGGCAACGTAAGTGGCATTTATATATATATATATATTTTTTCCAAAACCAACCTCCCAGCACTAACAGCCCCGTTCACAAGGGCAACAGCAAGGAGCTGGGGATGTTTCTGGGGAAGAGTAATGCTGGAGGTACTCGCAGAGTTTAGTTTAAAGCAGGGGCACGGGTCCCCTGCCGCAGGAAGGGGGAGCGACCACTGCTGGGGCACCCCCCCTCCTCCGCTGGTCGGGACCCTCAAGGCTCGCAGCGGGAGGAGGGGCGCCCGTCAGGCTTGGAGGAGGACAGGCTTCCACGGAAAAGACATCCACTCTTCCTGCAATCACTCCCACCTCCTCTTTCCCGGATTTTGCAAGACCTCACAACTCCAGATGTTCCCAAAGAGCTCTGCACTCGCCGGCTGGTCTTTCCGGAGTCTTTACCAATCTCTGCTCAGTGCCAGCGATTCCCCACACCTGGCCGCCCCGCCGGGCCACCTGAGGAGCTCAGAACAAACCACCGCGGTGGGCAACGGCCAGGTGTCACCCTCTGCAGACCAAGGCCCCCGAACGTCTGGGGGGTAGGAGGCGGCCGTCGGTTTGTATTTGGGGAGAACCGGTTTGGTTTAAAACGCCAAGCGATTCCAAGTGGAAACAAAGTTCGGGACGGCGGCGGCTCCCAGCGCTAACGCCGCTCCAGCACTCCCAGTCCGCACCAACCCCCCTCGCGGCCTGGGCCAGTGACATCAGCTGCAAGCACAGACCTGCTCCTGCAACCCGGGCTTCTGGGTTTTGAAATGGAGCAATTAACCCCCCCCCCCCAACGCATGTTTCTCACGTTAGGTGGGTTGATGGTCCCTAGCCACGAAGCCAAACTCCTTCACGGCGGCTCTGGGCACTGTGGGGGCACGTGAACCGTGGACACCCATCCGCTTTTTTTTAAAAAAAAAATAATAAACGTAATATTTTGGTTGGCCCAGTGTCCACATCTTCAGAAAGCTCAAAGAAAGATCCCCAAGAGAAAATCGCGGCACTTTGAGGAGGGAAGTTTTTTGTGAGCCCTATTTTGGAAAAAAAAACCAAAAACAGAAAAAAAACCGGCGGGGAGGGACCGGATCGCTAGGAAGTTCGGCACCGGCTGTCCCTCCGCCGCGCCGCCGGTCGCACCTCTCCGTCCTGCGCCCCCCGGAGCCTGGAGACGCCACGGAAGGGCTGCAGGTGGGAGGTGAATCTCGGGCGTTACCGAGGCGAGCGTCAGACCCCACGGGCTCCCGGGGTGCGGCTGAGCGGGAGGGGGCTCGGGGACCTGCGCCCTGGGGCAGGGTCCGACCCCACCCGCCTCTCTGCCGACCAGAACACCAAGTCCCTTGCAGGCAGCGACAGGTAGTTCGCGACCGAGACCAGCCCTCCGGGCCTCCCGATCCCGGGCTGCAGCCGCAGCCGGGAGGAAGGACCCACGAGTCAGGGGAAGACGCGGTGCGGGGCAGCCCGGGAGGTACGCGAACGGTGGCAGGGGTTCTCGCGGTCCTTCCCGAAGCCCCCGGGGCGCACTCGCCCGGACGCCCGCCCGCCCGCCCCGCGTGGGAGGGCAGGAAAGTGAAGAAAGTTGCGAGCGCGCGCGCGCTCCGGGGCGTCCCGCATCGCGATCCCCTAGCCCGCAGTTGCCTCCTCGGGCCGCCGCAGGCTCGCGCGGACCAGAAACGCAGCGCCGCGCCCCTCCCACGGTCCGGGCCACAGGCGCAGCCGTCCTCGGGCAGCCGGAGCGCCGGGCGCGGGGCCGCGGGCACGCCCTTACCTTTCTTTTCCTCCAGCGCCAGCCCCGCCGGGAAGTGCGCCGCCAGCAGCACCAGGAGCGCGGCTCCCGCCGTCCCGGAGGGTCGCATCGCTGCCCGCAGAAGCTCGCTCCGGGTCTCCGCAATTAGTCCGGGAAGGAGTCGGGCGGCCGTGCGCGCTGGAGGTGGCGGCGGCGGCGGCGGCCAGGCGGGGACTCCGGAGGTGGCCTGTGGTCCGGACTGGGAGGCGGCGGCCGCCGGGACTGGCCGGGGACTCGCTCGGCACTCGGGCCGCCCTGGCCGCGGGCGTGCGCACCGAGCCGGGGGCGGAGGCTGCTGCGGGCGGGCGCGCCGAGCCGGGGACTGCCCGGACGTCTAGCTCGCGGGGCGGGGAGGCTGGGCTGGGAGGAGGAGGGACCAGTCGGAGGAGGAGGGATCGGGAGGAGCAGGGAGCGAGGAGGAGGGAAGAGAAACCGGCAGCTGGCACCGCGGGCAGGCAGGCAGGCCGGCCGACGGAGGCTCGGAGGCGGCGGACAGCGGTGGCCCCCGCCGGCCCCAGCGCTCTGGCGGGGGCGGGAGGGACGAACGGCGAGCGGGAGACCCCGGTTCATCCCTGAGGTGGGGTTCCCTGCGCTGTCCTTGCAGACGCGCCCCGCGACCTGGCCGTGCTCTCCTGGTGACCCAGCCCGCGTCCAGCCCGATCTGTGCCAGGGTCGCCATTTCCCAATTCAACTTGCAGAACAAAGTGGTGCCAGCTCCCGGCGAACGCGCCAAGCCTTAGGCCCAAGGCCGGATAATGGCACCGATCGGGGAAGCACCCCTTAATCCTCTCCCAGCTCCTGCATAGCACCCCGGAACCCTAGTGGGGACAGAGGACGGCCTGGCAGCCAAGTTGGCCCTCGCCGAGCCCGCGCGGCGGGAGCGCCAGGCTGCTGAGTCTGAGCTCTCCAGCCCAAAGGACCCTTCACATCCCATCAAGCACCCTCGAAACCGTCTGAGATGCGGGCGCCGGACTCCTGGCACGCGGCCGGGCCTTGGGGAGTGTTAACGGGATGAATGCACGAGGACCCGGGCAGCCCGCAGCCCTCGGAGGCCAGGAACCAGCCGGGGCACTTGAAAAGCAGACGCGCGGACCATTGCTCCCCACGAGCCAAGCGCTTAGGAGGAAGGCGGGACACCAGGGCACACAGAGGTGCTTCCACGGAAAAGCCAGGTGCCCCACTCCCCCGAGACAGGCGCCCCCCCGCCGTGACTGAGTCAGGAGCAGCGCCTGGGAGGTTCCCCCCGGACTGGGCAGGGAGAAAGCAGGCTTTCTTGGGGCTGCAGGGCCGCGAGCTAAATAATTCCGCAGCGTCGCTCCTGCCCTGCTGGACAGATGTTCTCGGTCCGTTCTACACCCCGGTCCCCAAGTGTCCTCGTAAGGCCACCTACCGATGTTGAGATGGGTCGGTCTGGCCTCCCCGGGGTTTAAGCAAAGTAAGTGGAATTCAAGTGTACCCTGTCTGGTCTCGGGAGGACAGGAACACCTTTCCTCCTTCCCTTCCCGCAGGTGCCAGGCCCGGGGCTCCCCGGCACCCCCGGAACTGCCCCTTTTCCTCTGCATTTAGAGCCGTTTGTGTTCCTGTGTTTGACCAAGTCAGGACACCCACTGAACCCCCCCACCCTCACCCCCGAGCTCATTCTGCCCGGAGTGAGGAAGGCTGTGAAGACTCCGGGGGTGGGTGCTTGGTTCCCTCCCTGGGTCCCCAACGAGGCCCCGTGTTACCAGTCACACGTCACAGACGTACACCCAGCGACAGACACCACACACGTTAGGGAGGGGCGAGCCAGCAACTCAATGGCGGGACATGGCAGGAGGCCAGGAGCGAGTCTTCCGCCCAGGTCCCATGCTTGTCCCCGACAAGGCCCCCCTTTGGCTCGCCAGCCGTCTGTCCAGCAAGTTCCATGGACGGCACAGATCGTGTTGTTCATGTGGCAACTCGTCAACCGATTGAAGCTGCGACTGACTGTGAAGACCACGTGGGAACCCCTGCCCTGCGTCCCCCAAGAGCAGACAGTGTGTGAAGGCTTCGGAGTTCTCACCGCCCACCTTTCGTGACGCAGCACCCTCTCCAGGGCTGTTTCGTGAGCCCACCCTTCCATCCGATCTGATGACGTCGTGAGGACAGAGCTTCGTGGCAGCGATGACGCGAGGGGGGTGCGTGACAGGCACACACCCCACACGAGGCTGACCCCGGAAAATGCAGGAACGGGCGAGCTCAGCATCTCCTGGGGTACCCTTGCAAAGCCAGGGTTCCTCCTCTGAGCTTGCGACACAGGAGTGAGTGACAGTCAGGGTAACTTGTCACCTCCTGGCAGGCACGTGGCGTGTACAGGTCACTGCGGCACTTGTTAAGCACAAGACTGTATCAGCGAGCTCGGGACAGTGATGTCTTGGGGGACAGAGCTTTGCCCGGCCTGGGCCCCGCATAGACCCTGTCCAGGCACGTCCCAGGCCACGGCCGGGGCAAAGGCCACGGCCATAGGGACAGCAAGAGCAGTCCTGACCCCAGGCTGCTCAGCGCCGTCAGCTCTGACCCCTGTGAGCCAAGCTACACGTTGTCTGGTTTTATGGAAAGAGGACGCCGTGGCTTGGGACGTTCCCACAGATAACCCGCCCTAGTCCCGAAACACGCCTGCTAGTCACGAGGCCGACCTTGAACCCAAGCCCCAGACGCATTCTTGGCCACACAGAGTGCAGCTTTCCTGACCGCGGGACGGATAGCCTTGGGGTCTTCACATTCTACCTCAGGGTGTTGAGGAAACTTTGTAGAGGAGACACAAGCAACATTTTTGGTTGGCCAAAAAAACAAAACAAAACCTGGACAAAGCGTCCACGCACACCGCGTTAACAGGGACATGCGGAAGCTTCCGGCAGTTCCCGCATTAAAGCTCGCGTGGCCCCTCGCTGTCCCCACACGGGATCTTCATTGTCCTCACGTTTCTCCTCCTCTGATGAGCAGCTCCCCTCCTCGACGAGGCTTCTGAGCATTCTGAAGGTGACTTTCGCCCTTCCCAGAAGGAACGTGGCGGCCAAGGCCCTGAGGAAGGGCAGGAGGAGCGGGGCCCCGGGCCGGGGTGGGCGGGGGAGAGGGGAGCCCTCACTTATTCACGTCTGTCTCGGGCAGGAGGCTTCTCGCCGCCTGTTTCCTCCGGCCTCTGAGGTCGAAGCAGGAACGGGCGAAGGAAAACGTCAAAGGGGTGGACTTCAGAATTGCAAGGCTTTTATAAACGACTGGCACCGTCTGGAAGTGGAACGGCTGCCTCCAGGGGAGCAGACGTCTCCGTCCTTAGATGTGTGTCCAGGAGCGGTAAGCGCGAGCGAGGGGCGGCTGAAGGAGGAACTGGATTCAGTCCCTCCCCACCCTAACATTCCCCAAGACCATGCATGTCCAAAACAGGCTTCCCTTTCGGGTGACATGCATGCAACCGCTCTTCTCGGGATATTTTAAGAAGACCCCAAAATGTGCTAACCGCATCGCCCCTGGGCAGCACGGCTAGGGGGCTGGGGGTGGAGGGCGGCAGGGAGACTTATTCTTTCACAGGCGTCACCTATTTCCGTGAGGTAAGGGTCCGGGACCTCTGCAGGCGCCCTTGCTGAGATTCCGGCGCGCTCCTGGGGGCGGGCACGCTTGGACTTCTCCGCCGCCTCCTCTCTCTCTCTGGGTCACTTTGTCTGCGGAGACCTGTCTCGGCCGCGTGTGGAGGAAACAGCTTCTCTCTCAGGAATCGGGCTGCTGACGCACAGCTGCTTTGGCGTTCATCTGTCATTAGCATTCTCATTAGTGGTTATGTCATGAGGCTGCTTCATTATCTCCAGGGCGGAGGGTGACGAAGTGCCTAGCAAGCAGGACCGCAGTTTTGAATGCTGGTTTCTGGCTCTGCTGCTCGCTCGTGCCTTTGCACGGGGGTCTCGCAGGAGGTCGCTGCACGGTGCTTTGCCCACGACGCAGGCTTAAAACCGACGGGAAACGACTTTGTCCGAGGTGTTGCCACTTGTCTCGGGCTCACAGTCGGAACTAGACGCAGGAGCCTCCAAGTCCCAACTGGTGGCCTGCAGACCAAGTTCAGGAGACAGAGGTGGTTTCGTGGGGCCCGTTCAATATTTATCTTAATGGAATTAGTGGTGACATTTAAAAATGAAGAGGTTTCGTATTTAAAATGTGGATTCTTGGTTTCTCTTGACAGATAGGAAGGGCTGGCCAGTTGGGTCTGCTTTCACGTGCCTGGGTGGGTGATAACTGTCCCCTCCGGAAAGAAAGGATGTCAAGTGTCTCGCTCACGTCAACACCGCCAAACCTGATTCTCCGGTTCACGGGGCCGGCGAGGCTGCTGCCGGCACCCCGGCCTCTCCCTTCCCCGTTTGGCAGCGCCGCCGCCTCTTCAGCCCCTGGCTCTCCCCTGGCCCTTACGTCCCTTTCTCCAATGCGTTCCGGCTCATCTCGTGTGTGTGTGTGTGTGTGCGTGTATCTGCCGATAGGTTCTGGTCCGGCGGTCCAGTACACTCTACCCACCACGATAGACCTCACTTGAAACGAGCATGTTTCGAATATGGAGTATTATAAAAACACAAGAGTTTATATCACAGCTCATAATCAGATCTTATCATTATTATGGTTGACGTTATAGAAACACATCCAACTAAAAATTACTAGGGGAGAGTACAGTCCTGCCGTGGAAGAGAGAGAGAAGGACCTCCCCCTCGATTTATGGGACACGCGCCGTGACCGTGAACACAGGCTGGCCGGCCTTGGCGGGAACCAGGAGTAGGATGTGCAGGGCGAGGAGGTGGAGCTGGGTATCGTGTGGCTTGCCAGGCAGCGAGTTCTGCCTGGCTTCCTTGTCCGCATAAACCGTAATAATTGATGGAACGTGCAGTTTATGAGGGAACGACTCAAGAGGCATTTTGAGGCCTTTGAGCTACTTACCATTGAATCATGGTAATTTCCTCTCGTCTCATGTCATCAAGGCCGTGTGGCCAAGACCCCGCGCCAGGCTTGTGTCCTTCCGCAGGGACACAGACACTCCCCGCGCGGAGAGAGGCCTTACGTTTGTTCACCAAGGACGTGGACGCAGAGAATATTTTGGAAGTCTTAAAATGTTCTCTCGTGTTTTATTTGAGAGTTTTTTTTTCCATTTTAAAAAAACAAATTGACACCATGTGCAAAGAATTCAAACGGCCAGGAAAACTACTGCCTGGAAAGTGTCGCC